GATAATTCTCCACATCCTTTTTAACTTTCTACATCTCAGAAACTGATTTAAAGTACGTTGTGTGATACAGAAATTAAATGAACTGTAAATGCATTCTCTTTAATGAAAAAAAAAAGTAGGTCCAAATCATAAGTGGTTGAAAAATTGCAACATAAAAGTGACGAAAGAGAGAGCAAAAACAAAGGAATTTGATTGAACTCTATAATCCATTAAAAACAAGGCCTACAATGCTAGGGACACACACAAAACTATGAAAGATGCATCACAATCTTCGAAGGAATTCACCCAAATCTTCTGGTTAGTGCCGACCACTGTCATTCATGGAAAAATCTAGGAAATAAAGCAAATTAAAGAATCCTCTATAAAATTAAAGTCGGCAAACTCACCAACTTCATGCCTATAAATATGGATTCAATTGTATTTTGTACGCATGAGAGAGAGAGAGAGAGAGAGAGAGAGAGAGAGAGAGAGAGAATTGACAGTGTGAAAGTATTATGTATGTGAGTGACAATTGAGTGGCAGTGAGTAAAAGAGAGAAGTTGTGGATAGCACATTTGCTGTGTAATTAAATTGTATTGTGTACTTTGTTAATAAAATAATATTATCTTGAGTTTAAATTCAACAATTTGATATTAAAGAGGCTCTGAAGAATTGAAAAATTAAAGCAAGCAAGACAATGCTTACAATAAAGACAACGATTGAGGAAGAGTTATTAGAGCACATAAGAGTTAAAAGCATGCCAAAATAAGCATGAGACACGTTCACAGCATTATTCTCAAAGAAAAATAATTTGAGGTTGTCATTTATGATAAAAGAGCTGCTCTCTGTCGCTCAAGGAGAAATGACAGTAAGTCAATATTTTAACAAAATTAAGATCTCTCAGTAGCAAAGTTTATGAATTAGATTTTTCGAGTCAAATTTTGGAATTTGGAATGAGAAGAATAATTATACATAAATTGAAACCCGAATTTACAGACTTTATTGCTGTCATACAAGGTTGGCCAAAGCAACCGTTACTGGTAAATCGTGAAAATTTGTTGGTTGACCAAGAAGTGTTGACTAAATAGGGTCTCAATAAAGGGAAAAAAAAAAAAAAGCAGCATTATATAGTTATAAAAGAAGAGATCGACCCCATCAATAAAATAATAAATAATTAAAAAAAATTTAATCTAAAATACAATTTGAAGGGAGTCATCAAACAAGGGGCCCAACCAAATTGCGAAAAATGTCATGGTTATCAACGAACTAATGACTCATGCTTTACAAGTGAAAAACGAGGTTATCATGCTAGAGACTATTGGTTTATAAAGGAGCTAGCAAAAGACAATTTAACAACCTCCAACAAGGAAGAAAAGTACAATAGCGAAGAAGAATAGAGCAACCATAAGAGTAATTGAGCAGGTTCAAGAAAAAATTTAATTCAAGATTAAAGGATGAATCAGCATTGGTGGTGATCCTCACTGAGCAAATGGATTACAAAGATGATTTGATTGATGACTCAGGACACAGCGTCGTGTGGAGTCTTCTTGGTGGACTCCGAATAGTGAAGAACTAATGCGCTCAAAAGAAATAGACGTGTTTCATTAAAATTTGATGGCAAGTTGAAAGATAAGGTGCCAAAGCAAACCAGTGAATTAAGATAGAAGCTTGAGAAAAATACAAAATATGTTGGAGACAATAATGAACAAGAGCTTCAAAGGTAACATAAAGACTCGAGAAACAAACAATCTAAAATCATCGATGTTAAAGATCTTACAAAAGTGATACAAAATCATTGGCAAAATTAGAGCTTCAACCCAAACCGCTTAAACAGACCAACCCAACCTAAGCAGACTAGTTTAGGTTGGTTTTTAAGTTCAACTGCGTTGGGTTGGGTTAGGTTGAAAAATCAAATTTGAGGTCAGGTTAGGTCAGATTGGGTCTCAAGTTATGAATTAAAACTCAATTCAACTCAATCCTACCCAACCCAATGAATTAAAAAATTTAATATCTAAAATGGAAAAACCTAAACAGACACAGTAGTGAAGAGACATTTCCTTTTCTTACATATGCGGATTGGTATGAATATTATATACAAATGCAAAATAATTTGACGATAAACTAAAAATTAAGGACGTGATAATGAAATGAATAAATCCCAAAAAAATGATAACAAGAAAATGCCCCATAGTTTCAAACTTATCTATAAATTAATTTTCAGATATAGGTTAAAAATAATGGAGATTTTCAAGTAGTTTCAAACTTTAAAAATTGTCCAAATTCAACAAATAAATAACCGAATCCAACTGGAATTGGACCTAAGACCAAATCAACCAACCCAACCTAAACCAATCTAGCCCAAACCAATCCAACCTTGATCAGTTTAGGTTGGGTTCGGTTCGGTTAGGTTTAAACTAGTAATTGTGTTAGATTGGTTTATTTTACATCAAACTGACCATGTTGGGTTGGATAAAAACCAACCCAACCCAAGCCCAAACATAGGCAAAATGATGTGTACTCAGAAAGCACTAGATCGACCAAGTCAACAAGAAGTGATTGATGTACGTATAAATTTACAACCACAAATAATGAAGCTGGGTGGAAATCAGAAATTAATTACAAAGTATGCTAACCAAAAAATAAATGAAGAGAAATGGATAAAAAGATATATTTGACGCAACAGATGTATTGAATAAACGACCAAGCGCTTCACAATTCGTCGATAGAACTAGGCTCGACTAAAAAGAAAATAGTGAAATTAAAAAGTCGATTTTTCAAGTAACATTTATTGTTTTTCTCTCATTTTTAATAAATATATGTTTTCAGATGTCAATTACCAATAAAATCAAATATGGTTTGAACAATCACAGAAGTGGAGCATTGAAATCTAGAACTTATTAAACTCAATTATTACAAAATAACAATGAAGAGTGGAGCCAAACCTACTCTGTACTTTAGAAAGTTAAATGGAGCTTAGTTTCAAGGAATTTCCTCTCTACAATAAAGAGTCTTACATAAAGAGCCTCTTGGAGATGCTCCTAAGACTATCAACAAGAAAACTAACTATATCATCCATGGAAGTGAAGTACAGAGAAAAAGCCTCTTTTTTTGGTTGTACCATTTTCAATGAGTGTAGTTTAATCTCTTTTCCATTATCTTCCTCTGACAAAAAATTATCAGCACTTGTTTGCAAAACAGGATATGCATTTTGGAAAGAACGATCTCAACCAGAACTTTAAAACAAGTAACAAGTGTACTTTTGTTTATCACTGAAAACATTATAATTTACTTTTCTATCTTGTTAATCAGTTGGGGATGAGTAGGAATTCTCATTAATCTTCCTCCAGGAAATTTCCATCCAAAGTCAACCGAATTTTGAAACATAAATAAATTCTTTGATAGAAAAGAAAACTCCAAAATTCAAAAGCAATAATCATCTGATAAAAAACCCCCAATAATATTAACTCAATAGTTAATAACAGTCACCTGGCGATTACGAGTTGTAGGATCATGTCTCGCCCAGAAAACATCAAGCATGGTCTCATAACTACACTCCTTCGGATCATACTGGACCCGAACCACCTCCGAATGGTTCGTGGTACCGGAACAAACATCCTGGTAGGTGGGATTGTGCAAGTACCCCTGCGAGTATCCCGCCTCAGTCTTGGTAACACCCGGCACCCTCTGAAAGGCCAATTCCACGCCCCAGAAGCAACCCGCCCCGAATTGCACGAACATTTGACCTGGAGCAGGTACGTCGTCGTCAGGTCCCTGCGCTATTGAAGAATCGGAAGACGAATCCACGGGGGAGCCAGTGGGGTTGCGCAAACCGAATCCGAGTTTGTTGAGCCAGCTCATTTTTGAGGAGGTAAAAAGAATGGAGGGGCGTTCAGTCGTGTAGGAGGAATTAAAGGGTGTTGGTGAGGGTAATTTGGGAAAGGAAAATGAGGGTTTGGAGATGGAAGAAAGGACGGAGAGGGTTGTTATGGCGGTGGGGATGGTGGCTCTCACGATCATTCTCAATGGAGATATTGGGGGGAGTGCGTACATGAAAGCACGTCATTTTCGTGAATTTATTAAAAATTTTGATTTTGATTTGAACAAAACGTGGACGAATCATTAAATGTGTACTTATTCCATATTGATAATTAATAAAATCATATAATTCATTAAGTCCTGTTTGAAACTTGTCATCCAAAAACTCTCTTTTTTTCCTTTTTTTTTTTTTAAATTCATTTTCAATTAAACATTTTTTATCAAAATAATTTTACATGTAAAAATTTCCTTACTTATTAATATCACATTTTTCAAAAATTTCCTTACTTATTAATATCATATTTTTCAAAAATCACTATTAAAACATGTTAAATTCACCAATAGTCACGCAACTTCATATTTAGTATAAACCACCCATTTTGATTTTGTTTTATCATGATCATCCAATTTCATACTTAGTTTCAGTCAAGTCACCCAGTAATTAAATTGGGTGGCCTATGTAATACTAAGCTCTTGTTTGAGCCTTATTTTTTTCATCAAAATACATTTTTCAACGGTGATTTGACATCATTTCAATCCCACATATTTAATAAAATAATATTACACGCAAATTCATATCTTTTTTTCATTTTTAACCACACATTCTTCATCGTTATACTATTTCAAAATACATTTTTTTCTAAAAAATAGGGTTCAAACAACCCCTAAATATGCAATTGGAGGTTATAATAAAAGAAAATCAAATTGAGTGATCAGTGTGAAATGAAGTATATATTTGGTGACAATTAGAGGATTTAACCCATTATAAAGCTTTCAAAAAATGGAGCTCAAACGGAACTTAAATTTAAGCCTTGTTTGAGCCTTATTTTTGAGGGAACGAATGCGTTTTGAATAATAGATTGATAGAGAGAGTGTGGTTAAAAGTTAAAAAAAATTGAATTTATATATAATATTATTTTATTAAAAAATGTGAGATTGAAATGAATTTCGAAAAAATGAATTTTTAAAAGAATTAGGCTCAAACAGGGGCTTAGACTTATTTAGCCCATGTTTGTTATTTTTTACTTTACATTTTTTTCATTATTTTTTTATAGTACTTATTTTTTAATCGCACATTCTTTATCAAAAAAATAATACAAGTGAATCAAATTTTTATATTCACACATTTTTATCAATCACTTTTCTATTAATACATTTTTTCAAATTAACGAGCTTCAGGGCCTTCATGTTGCAATTAGCAAAATTATAGTGGCCTTTCGTCAAAATCCTCGAGTCTGTATAAAAGGCATCTATCGGTGCATCTCTCATCTGAAATCAATTCTCATTACTAAAAAAAACTGAGTTCTCTACAGTAAGTCTGCTCGTCATCCGGTCAGCTCTTCCGGCACCGATCTCGATTCGCCGTTGATCTCGGCCGTCTGAAGGAGAATTGCATCCAATCATGACAACCGAATAGTAAAATCTCTCTTCCCTTTACATTTAAAATTAAGGGAAAATAAGAGTAACGGTGTTTATTTTAGCTTTGAATTTGATAAGATCCACATCGATTATGATTCGAACTTTACCTTCAGGGCCTTCATGTTGCAATTAGCAAAATTATAGTGGCCTTTCGTCAAAATCCTCGAGTCTGTATAAAAGGCATCTATCGGTGCATCTCTCATCTGAAATCAATTCTCATTACTAAAAAAAACTGAGTTCTCTACAGTAAGTCTGCTCGTCATCCGGTCAGCTCTTCCGGCACCGATCTCGATTCGCCGTTGATCTCGGCCGTCTGAAGGAGAATTGCATCCAATCATGACAACCGAATAGTAAAATCTATCTTCCCTTTACATTTAAAAATAAGAGTAACGGTGTTTATTTTAGCTTTGAATTTGATAAGATCCACATCGATTATGATTCGAACTTTACGAATTATGCTATTCTATGATCTCGATTTATTATTTTTAGATTTTTGATTTTTTTTTTTAATATTAGAACTGGTCGTCTTATACATCGGATTTATTTGTGTTAAATTTAACTGAGAATTTACAAATTTTTATCTGTAGTTTTCTATTGTTAAATATTCATTCCTGTTAAAGTCTCTGAACCGTGCCATTTGAACAATGAAAAATATTAACATAGCGAAAGGGCAGTGTGTTTGTCCTTAATTTTAGATCTACTTATTATTTCTGAGGTGAGCTGGTTGAAACTTTGTTTATGGTGCCAAAATTTAGTTACTTTTTGTCCATTTGTTGGCAAAATTCATCTAAATGTCTATCCTGCTTTACATCGAAATGATAATTCTGCTGTGAAATTGGGTCACGTTGGTGGACCATATAATTGGTTCTGTATATAGAAGCTTGGCTAGAATTCGATGTAATATGTGATGTATCTCTCTGCAGGGAAATATTCTGTTAAAACACATTAATAAATGAAAAATCAGATCTTTATGCATTTGAAGCCCATGCTGAGCTTTTATTATACGAATCTAAGAATCCTAACTAGGAAACATTCCTTCTGAAGTAAATAAAACTTCTCTGTTTATCTGGAGCAGCGCTGAATTATGAGATTCTTTTGAGAAAGTTTTGGAAAACTTTTTGCAATGTTTGATTTTTGGGGGGTTTGTGTTTATATTTCGGCATCTCTTAATCAAATTCACATTGTTTATATGATCAAGTACATTTTATGTGATTCCTAGCAATCTTAAATGATAAGTTATACTGAATTTAAATATATGTTGCGTCTTGCAGTGACTACTTGTTCAAACTTCTTTTAATCGGAGATTCAGGCGTTGGAAAGTCATGCCTTCTTCTGAGATTTGCTGTAAGTTTTTAGATGTCAGTCAATCATAGTTCGTTGCATAAATTCTTCAATTCCTGTCAGATGCTAGTTTTTTTCCTTTTCTTTTCTTTTTGGTTTTTTTCCCCCCTTTTTGCAAAGGCAGCTAATGTGGGATTTTCTTGAATTGTTTCAAATTCTTTTTTCAACAACTGAACTGATTTAGCCTTGTACAGGGAACTAATTTACTCATATTTGTTGTTCACTTCCAACACTCAGCCTCCTCCTCACCCACCCTACCCCCCCCCCCCCCCCCCCGGGAAAAAAAAAAAAAAAGTGAGAGAGAGGAAACAATCTCAGCCTGCCTTTAATTTATTTATTTATTTATTTATTTATTTATTTATTATTATTATTATTATTATTATTATTATTATTATTATTATCATTTATTTATTTTTTATTTTTTTTTTTTTTGGTGAACTTTTGCTCATTGAATTGAAATTTGTTTTGAGAGCAAACCATAGTTTCTGAGTTTGAGAGTTCCAATTTAGAGAAAAATTGGCAGAAAAGTTAGGTGTTTATTGAAATCAAACCTAGTTGCCCCTCAAGCATGAAATAACCACGGTCATTATTTGCACAAAGTGGCTACTATCACTTTCAAATTATAGTTCTATTGTTGTCAATAACAGAACCTTAGTAAAGTGTTGGCTTTTAGAGGCATGTTACTTCATCAGTACTAATATGCAGATTACAGAGATATATCAATCATGTTATTGAATTTAATTTTTTTTGGGTTGAATCAGAGATCAATGTTCATAGTACTTGGTTATACTTGTTACAGTGATATCCAGCCATTATCTTGCCAATTGAATACATGGTTTTGGATTTGGAATCTTTGATTGCATCACTATGCAGTGACTGTGTGGGAATTTGACTGTAAAGCAGTACAGCACTGTAAACTGCCATGTATCCAAGGGCATGTTGTTTTTGGTTGTATGGGCTTTTAAAGAGTTCTAGCTACTAGGCTAAGAATGGTTTTAGTTAATCTTTACTTTCATGAGGTTTGTTTTAGATAATTGATTTGATGCGGTTATGGTTATTGAGGTGTTTTGTGTAGATTCTTGTGGTTAAGTTCTAAATGCCTTTCTGAACTCATAATGACAGTTTTAATATATAGTACGTTCAAGTTGTAATTCTTCACACATTTTTGTACTACACAATCTGCACAGATGTGGAAGTTCTAAGATTTTGGACATTATATTAATAGTAAGATTGGTTTCTACATAAACAGAAAGTACTGAGTATACTGTTATTTTTACTATTCTACATGGATGATTTTTCTTAGTTCTCAGTTATTCAGTCAATCCAACAATTGATTTAAAAGTCATGCTGTAAGATTATCAATTATGCTCCATAGCTCTCGCTTCCCCATTTTCCTTAAACTTTGAGTAGGTTGGAATTTGACCTCTCTCTTTTAGGCATTCTAAGTATGTAATTTAGGCTTCTAGCTCTACTTTTTTGTAAATGCTACTCACGTGTTCTTTTCCTGGTATGCCTCTTAGATTCCATGGAGAAAGTTATATTAGTAACATGCCAATACTACTTTACCAGTCTTAGGTAATAGGAGATTAGTCTGCATTTCCCATCATTACAATTTCAATCTCTGTGTGGCTGCAATGGCGATAAAGTTTTGATTTGTTCTTTTCTTACAAATTGTTGAGTTTGCTTTGAATATAGATTAATAACTGACCATTCTTGATTTTTCTCATGCAGGATGATTCATACTTGGACAGTTACATCAGTACAATTGGTGTCGACTTTGTAAGAACTTAGACTTCACAGGCTGTTAAATTTTACTTGGCACAGTTTGAAACCTTGACTGTTTTTCTGCTTTTCTAGAAAATACGCACAGTGGAGCAAGATGGAAAGACAATCAAACTTCAGATTGTACGTTCTCTGATCTCTTTAAGTTTTTGCCAGACTCTGCGTTTTTTGAATCGGTCCTATGGGGTAGTGATTCAAATTTTGGGACTTTTTCTTAGTTTTCCTGGTCGGTATTAATGGAGTTTAATGAAACACCCATTAACTTTGGAACAGCGAAAAATAGATGTATTTACATCATTTCATGTCCTCAATCGATTGCTTTCAAATCTCTGGAGAAAAGAAGCTGATGTGGTCAATTTTCAGTATGAAATCTATTTTGAATTAGCTGCAAGCATGGCTGTATTCTTCAAATTCCCCGAAAATTTAGTTCATTGAGTTACTGAATGCTGTTTGTTGGGAGGCTTTCATATATTGCACAAGGATTGCCTATATGTATGATGACGAATCATGTGCATAAAAGAACGCTGTTGAACTCCAGTAAAAATTGGTTTATACTGTTTGTTATTATTTGTGGCTTTCAGTGGGATACTGCTGGACAAGAACGCTTCAGAACAATTACTAGTAGCTACTACCGCGGGGCACATGGCATTATAGTAATTATCTTTTTAGTCTCTTCATCTCTCGTCATTAATTATCTGAATATGAATTCAGATCTGGCGCTGAGGCTGAGCCACCTCAGCCCCCATGTCACCCTCAGCCCCCATGTCACTGTCAATGTAGCTTCTCTCGCTGTTTGGTGTTATTAAATGCTTTATGTTGATTGAAAATTCTGGCAGATAGTGTACGATGTGACTGACCAAGAAAGCTTCAACAATGTGAAGCAATGGTTAAACGAAATTGATCGCTATGCTAGTGAAAGTGTAAACAAGCTTCTAGTTGGAAATAAGTGTGACTTGGCTGATAACAGAGCTATCTCATATGATACAGCTAAGGTACAAATCTTGTCATTTTGCATGTATACTGTGTTGTAGATTTGGATTGATTTAGTCAAAATGACAGTCAAATTTGAACCCCACATATCTAGGAATTTGTTTTTAGTTAGTTCATATTTTGATTTATCTGAATCTTTCGATTACATTTTTTATTTTAGCAGTTCCTAGAATTATGTATAGTTTTCCCATAAATGTGACGCAATATACAAAGAAATATATCATTTGAGATTAATTCCCAAAACCTTTAAACTGTTGTAGAAACTAGTTTAACTGAAATTACCTCCATTTGCTGTTTAGGCTTTTGCTGATGAAATTGGCATTCCGTTCATGGAGACCAGTGCAAAAAATGCCACTAATGTTGAACAGGCTTTCATGGCAATGGCTGCTGACATTAAGACTAGGTATTCTTCTCTTGTATATAATGGATTATTTCTTGTTCTCCTAAAATCTGAGATCTGAATATTTCCACCAGAAAGTGTTACTTATTCATACTTTCTTGAGTACTATATTCCTTACTAAATTCAATGCTATAAAAACCGGCATGGCTAGTTCACCCTTAATATGGAAAACATGTCCGGGTATGGCTTACCAAATGGAAGTTAAAAATCTGGACTAAAACCTGTCAATCTCCCCGTTGAACTGGCCACAGTTTGCATTTTGTCTTCATGAAAAGGGATAATTTTGTTAAGGAGCAATTTAATCTTGCATATGTCCTGTGATATTGTGTCCTGTGATATTGTTACGAATCTTTGACGTCATAATATCCTAATTTTGGCTGTTTTATTTTTATATTGATGGAAAATTAATTTATGTTTATAAATTTCTTTATGGATTTTTATGTTTATTTATTTTATTTTTGACATCTGGTTGTCATTGCCTGAGCCTTATACCAGAGCAGGGTTCAATATTTTTCTTTTTTCACACCCCTGTCATAATAACTGCAGGATGGCAAGTCAGCCATCGAACAATGCAAGGCCTCCCACCGTGCAGATTCATGGACAACCCGTCGGCCAGAAGAGTGGCTGCTGCTCTTCTTAGTTGGCTGTTGTGGCTTTTGCGGGATTATGTTTCGCCAGCTAACGATTAGCACTTCGACCCAGCAATTTATATTTAGTTCAATTCTTTTAAATCTATATGATTTCTAAGTGTCCTGTACAAATTATGAGCGGTTGCTCACCAATCGTATACGTTTGTTATTTTTCTCCTATTTCACGTAGCTTTGTCCGCAGGTAACACTGTCATAGCTATCTGTTGACTGCTAGTCTCTCAGCACATCTGGAAACAATTATGTAATGTCTTGATTCGTGTTTACATTAAAATTCAGACAAGCTTGTAATAAAATGCTAGAATTATTATAGTGCTTTTTGTGGTAAACTGTTAACTGTTCCGTTGAGACATGGACACCTACAAAATCCAATGGTTAGATGTATGTGGGCTACATGAAATCTTGTGCGAATCAGCATGAATCACTTTGCAAATGTAAGGCTACTTTTTCATGATTGATGTGTTTCGCTCAATAATCAGCTGAATATGTGACTTGGATATGCTCTTGCTCGGGTTAATTTATAATTGTTGAACATCCACTAAAGAGTACTATCGAATACATCTAGTGTCACCTGCATAACAAATTGCGTTCATGTAATTATATATTACTCACATGCAAAACACCTTGGCACATTTTGTAATTAGCCCCTGTTTGAAAGTCATTAAAATGAGGTGTGCGTGTGATTTTTTTTATTTTTATTTTTTTCCCCATAGAACTTGTCGCTAAAAGGGGGAAACAAATTTAGGATTACATGCAAAATATTTTATTGTGAAAATGTGTGATCGCAAATGAGTTTTTAGATTAAAAAAAAAAAAAAAAAAAAAAAAAAAAAAAAAAAAAAAAAAAAGAGTTATTTCATTGGTTGTCAAATAGGGCAAAATAAAAAAAACTTCATATAATACTGTGAGGCAAAAAAAGAAGTTGCTGTAACTCTTCTATTGTATTGTCTTATCTAATACTAGTCTCATGCCCGTGCAATGTGGTAAGTCACCTATACTCTATGTAATATCTTGACATTTTGTAGAATATAATTTAATTTATATATGCTATATTTTAATATTTTGAAAGTTTAGGGACTAAAGTGTAGATAAAATAAATTTTAAATCTATTTAAATGTAGATAGTGACGTAATGATAATAAATACATGAATATTGGACTCGTTGGAATTAGATCGTAATTAATCATGCATATTAGGCTCGAGAAAAAGTTAATTTGAATTACCAAAGCCTAAGTTATCGAGGTTGAAAGATATAGAATTAAATATTATTATTAGTATAATCATTTTAATTGAGTATGAAATGAATTTAACAATTTCATGGGTGACGTCCTAGATCTGTGGCAGGCAATAGGTCAGTGATTGTTTTGTTTATTAAATATAGTTTATATAAATAAATAAAAAAAGGAGAAAAGATAAGGGAAGCCACGTGAGAGAAACAGAGTAGCTTTGTTGTTTGAACGCTGCTACCCGTACAGAGGTATGTTTTTTTACAGATCCTTGCTAGACCCTCACACTTGTGGGCCTCGACATATTTTTTTTATTTTTTATGTGGGACCAAGCCCTACAATGAGGGGTTGGTAAGATCCCTGTGAAGCACAACTCTTTACACAGAGATTAATACTTGTTGTTTTCCTCTCAATTTGTTTAAAAAGGTGCCACATGTAAGTAGGGATGGCAAAAAGTTTTAAGGGCTCGGGTTGCCTGTTGCTTAGCCCGCAAAAAGTTTGAGCCGGCTCGGCTCGAGGCTAAGTCAAACCGAGCCCCATCTTGGGGTGTCGGGCCGATGTAGCTCACGAGCTAGCTCGATTAAAAAAAAAACCAATTATGGCGTGAAAAGGCAGCCAGCTACCTTTTAAAGGGGAGAGAGAGAGAGAGAGAGAGAGAGAGAGAAAAAATATAAAAAAGGGGAAAAAAAAAACGAGCCGGCTTGGCTTGGCCCATTTTGGCTCGATAAGGCCTGAGACGAAAGCTTGGGTTGAGCCTCGATTTTTTGGCCGAGCTTTTGCTAGGCTCGGGCCAAAAAAAGCCCGTCTTCAAAAAGCTCAAACCGAGCCCAAACATTGATTTTCAATTCGCGAGCCGACTTGGTTCGGCTCGTTGCCATCCCTACATGTAAGGAAGGTATTTATTGAGTGATATAGTTGGTTGGCAAGATCTAGTCAAACATTTTGTTTCAAATACTGTTTCCCCAACTTCATCCAATTACCCACTATCTCTTACACATTTTCTCGCGCCACACCTTAGTAGTTAGGGTATAAGTACCTATGTTGATAAATAAATCACACGAGAAAAAAAAGGGAGGGACACAAAAATATTTGTGCACAGCTCACAGTAACATAAGTGGCAAAAAGAAGAAAAGGAAAGAAGAGAACGTGATTCTTTGTCTTTCAAAAATATAAAGCAGTTTAACAAGGTAGGATATGAGGTGTAGGGTTTTTATGTCCCATTTAATTTTTTTTTTTTTATATGTTGATGAATTTTTGTACTCATGAAAGTTAAAGTTATGATATGAAATGTTATGGTATGAATGATATAGCCATTTTGGTACAATGAAATGAAATGATATGATATCAACTATTATCGGATGATATGCAACAGTATGGTATTCTTGCACATGTTTTAAAATTATTATTCGGGATCGCACCATTAAATCTGATATCCTACTGAGTATTCTCATGTACTTGCTATTTCCCCTACACCTCACAGGTTAAATCGGGTCGTGTCGAAGTAGGGTGGTTCAATGGTGTGATTGTACCTCGTTTTGCTAGACAAAAAATCTAAAGAATTTGGCACGTAACTTTATTTCTTTGCCGTAAATATTTATTCACACCTAAATTATCGTTTATGTTTATTTATTACATGGATATTTATTTTAAATTGTGCTTTTATTTAAAAGTTTGAATTTAAATCGTTTGATTTCCTTAGTGCGTTATATTACCTTAATCTCCGTGGTTTCATGAGGAAAAATTGGGAATATTGATTCAAAATATTCTCTGTGTCACTGCTTGATGGAGCATTAAATAATCTAGTTTACGTGTAAATGTTATTTTACTTTAAATAAAGTTGGAATTAAATATTATTTTATCCATCAATTTTACTAAACATATCCTTACTGTTAAGGTAATAAATGTTGATAGGCTGCCCCATAGCTTGGTGATGCAGGGTGAAAATTTCTTTAATAAAATAAGACAAATTTGATAGTATTTTCACCATTTGGAGCCGTATCCACACATTGAATAAAGGTTATACAGAACAACCGTTATTCTTACTGAAAGAACATAAATTACAACACATAGATCATAGTTATAGATTTTTAGAAAACCCTAACCCACACGGAGAGAAAGAACTGTTCGACCACCCAAAGGACGAAAATAGGGGCCAAGTATATGTATCTATTCATTTTAACCAATTTCATTCTAAGGTCAAGAATAAGCCATGTGTACGGCAAATCACTACCTACGTAATAGAGGCGAAAAACATGTAGCATGAAAACAAGTTTTAATGAAATGGGCCTCAAACCCAATTTGAGAATAAGACAGCCCAACAGGCCAAGTAAATAGTGAGGTAGCCCAACATTTAATAGATGCTCTTATACCAAGCAATGGGAAATTAATTCATAATTAATTGACCAAAATGTGTGACAATTAAGAGACACTAAAAATATATTTGGGAACTGTTTATAATTTGTTCTAATTGTAGATAGATATAAAGAGTGGTAGAATAGTGGATTACATTTGTGGAGCACTCGCAATGTATATGTATAAAAAGTGGGTTGAGTATTCATAAATATGACCAAATATAGGGCCTGTTTGAATTACATTATTTCAAAAAATATGTTCTTAAATAGTGATTTGACATTATTTCAATCACACGCTCTTCAATAAAATAATATTACAATCAGATAAATTTTTTTTTTATTTTTTAACCATACATTTTCCATCAATATACTATTCAAGAATGCATTATTATTAAAATAATGTGGCTCAAACACCCCATAGATTAAGTTATACATGATGGAAAAAGTTATAAAAGCAAGAAAATAGTACAAATTGGAATGCACAAATTTACATGGTTCGCTAGTGTTGCAATTTCACTATCTTAAAAATAGAGGTCTTAATGCCTGTATCAAGAGACGTTCATCTCCTGGGAAGATCTTAATGCCTTAGGATTAAGTGTTGTTCCCATTACTTTATATACTCTACATATTCCAGCAATAGATTCAAAATGTTCATCCAATTCTAAATTCGCACCCATGCAAACAAGGGCAAGGGAGTTTGTAGTTGTAACAACCCGAATTTTTTTACTTAAATTTAATGTTGGTCATTTGTCGTTACATTAAAATCTAAAAGTTGAGATGATAAACCCGGCCCACTTATTTGCATCAAGAATTTACTTGCTTACATATACTTTTTAGAATTTATCTAAGTTATTTGGATCGAATATTCAAATATTTTTGAAGTTGATAGAATATATCAATACTATACTCATTTTGTAGCTCGTGATAAATAGCATAAATTGGGCTCAAGAATAAATATATTTAGACTAGTTATACAAAAAATATTTTGATAGAAAAAAAGTATTCTAAATTTTGTATTTTATTAATAAACAAAATAATAATAATAAATAAAACAAAACTTTCATTTCAATTTAATTGAGTACGGTTACATCGGAATTTGAAAAGAATATTATAATTTAATACATTAAACATAATTAGTTCATTAAATTTGATAATAATTAATTTAATTAATCTCATGAATTTTCCATTTACCTCAAATGCATTTGGAATTTAATAAATGTTAAAACTGAAATGCCGTTTTAGTTGACTTGGGGTTACGTGTAGTGTGTCAGATTATATATACATGTAAGTGGTCTGATTAGAGTGTAATTTTTAAAAAAAGTTAAACTCCAACCTTGAGAGCCCACCGCCCCGCCCTTAAAATATTGTTAGGGAGGTAAATCGTAGGATGTGTCTCAACAGGACAAAGAACAAGAGTTGTCTGTACATTGCGCCTATAAGAAGTCCAATTCCATATTTCAGGAATCGAACTCCATACTGCGGCTGCTAGTAAGGCATGAGATAACCTCACTCCTATCCTTTGCATCATTGGACTATGCTCCGGAGGCGTATTATTTTTTATTATAAAAACACGAGTTCACTACCTATAAATTTTAGATTCAATCTTGACGTAAAGAATAAGGTTTCACAGAAAGTTCATAGAAGTCTCACATTGGAGATAGGTCCCACATGAATATTTTATTGTCAAAAAAATCACCCCAATTCCATCCCACCCTTGCTGAGTGTTATCTGTCAGCCTTCTATAAAGGCTTTAT